CACACACACACACACGCACACACATGCACACACATGCACACACACGCAGACAGACACACAAACGTCAACATCTAGTGCTTGACATTACAAACAAGTAATGAGTACTGCGATACAGAGCTGATATCAACTACAATTGCAAAATCAACCAATCAATAGCTCAGGGGTGAATGGGAGATGATGCTACTCGTCTGAGAGAGTTTTAAGATCCTTGCACACAGACTCTGTATTCGTCATCCTTTCCTATCAGAATGCTTGCTAAAACGCAGGCAGTGTGTAAACATGATTGACACAACGTATTTATTTTTAACGTGCAAAACTTTTGGACTCAGTGTGCAATGAGCTTTACTGTGAAAGTGTCTATGCCAGCTCAGTAATTACAGCACCACTGCTAAAAACACTTAGCTGACTCGTTAGTCATCCATTGTGACTTAACATGGCTTAACATCAATTAAAATAAGACAAACAAGCACTAAAATAATCCAAAACAATCAAGATATTTGCTATTTTGATTCACGCTATCAACAACTGATATACCAGGGAGATTCATTTTAAAACTGTGATTTCTAGACTTGGAAAAATTCATGGAAATTAATAAAATATTATTACTCCACTGGCATTTTTATAATAAATATACAGTTTTAATTTAAACTTTCAAGGCCTAAAATGTGTATAATCAGGTCTAAATTGTGAGTAAAAAAAAATAAAAATCTTATCCAGTATATCAGGACAGTTTCTTATACTAAAACATAAAAACAATGTTGTTCCTTGAAATAACATATAAAAAAAAAACATTTAAAAAAAACATTTTCAGTTACTATATAGACATACCACATACATATATATATTAGGGCTGGTAATTTAACGCGTTAATTAGATTAATTAATAGACCTACGTGGGTCATCTGACATTTCATACAGCTGTTTGATGACGAATATGAGGCAGAGCAACAACTCACTGCATGATGGAGCCTAGAGAACATAGTTAGAATGTCCCTAAAACTCAAGATATGGGGCAAAAATGCCCGTTTGAGTTTTTGTCTCATATTTACAGCATATAGTTAAGCAATATCACACGAGTGCAAATGTGATACTGATCTTATCCAAGGGTTGTGAAATTTTCCCACCGGTTAATCGACGTGTGTAGACTTGTGCCGGTATTCGGTAATGCGATATATCACGGTAATGAATATGCACGATATTGTTATCGTGGGCACTTCTAAATACCGTGAATAATTATATATTACAAATTATTCCGAATTTTGAATGCATTTTAAGAATACTTTTCCCATCAACTGGTCAGAATGCACAACAGCGCTATACGCTGCGTGAGAGACGCGCGCGCACCCTGATGTAAACAAGCGCGGACGAGAAGCACACGGCGGAACACGTGAGAGACGCACTTTCACTCTCTGACAGCAGATGGCACTAAACTGCAGAAATAATAATAATAATAATCATAATAATGCATTTAAATGCAGCCGTTACCC